CCACGAGTTTTAGCCATAGATACTCGAGATCGAATTAAGAAGAGTAAAGGTTGTTCCAGTATTGCGGCATCGATAATTGAAGTGTATATATAGTAGAAAACTTAATTCTTCCATTGATCTTGTATAAATATATTTCATGAGAAATTTAAATGTCATGAAGTTAATATAATAATAACTTTATTGCGTATGCGCAATATTTGATTCCTGTAAGTCGTGTAATTATTAAAAACATAAAGAAGAGAACGAAAAAGATAATAGGCACCAACAAACTTCTACTATGTTTACTTGTAGAAAAAAGATGATAATTTGATCTCAAGGGGATAGAATATAACGAACAAAAGAAAAGAAAAAGAAAAAGGAAAAGAACTTAAATAGGTAACTCGTGGTATAAAATGTGCAGAACATAATCAAGACTTAAAAGTTAAAAGTTAAATGTTGAAACTGGAAACATTTTAGTCAGCTTACAGTTAAATTCTTGCAAAAGAAAAGTCCACGTTCGATTTAAAACTGAAGGAGACTTAATATTGCGAAACCTAAAGTTAATTTTTCGAGAAACAGACGTTGTTCGTCAATTCTCGCGGCTTTTAATTGATGATTCGTACCTGCTTGCGCACGAGTTGCGTATCGAAATAATTTCGCTGTGACGGGTGCAAATGTTTCTTTGATGACATCGGCTCATTGTCGCTACCCACGCTAATAGTCGCTTTTGCCCGGAGCACGTCTGCCTATTAGCATACGCATTCGAGCGTGTCGCGCTTCTTGCTGCTCCCTATCGTCCTCATTTGCAGAATATCACATGAAATGGAATCTCCAAAAGTGCTTCTCATCCCTTTTGATAACTCATTTTCTTAGCAAACAGCGAAGCGGTGTTTCATGAACCCATCGTCTACAGTTGCGTAAAATGTCTTATAATTATGCCAATTTGACATTTTCCTAAGCGTTATCTTTTTTGCGTAAAGTCATACTACTCTTAATTCTTCTCGTTTGTCGATATCTTATAAAGTGAAATCATCAAATGTGTGTGTGTGTGTGTTATTCTTGTATCAAAAAGGAATATATGTTTACATTTAATAAATATTTAGTCGCAGTACTATTTAAATAAATATTTATAAAAATGAATTAGTGTATTTTTCTCTTAGTATAATAAATAGTGAAGCGTTTTATAAACCATCATTTATGGTTGCGTAAATGATTGAGAAATCATAAGATCTTTGCACAAAAGAAAACATTTTTTAAATTAGATATTTATACCTTTTAATAAAATTACTTTTCTGCGACTTCTATATGTCATTTTCTCACAAAACCACTAAAGATTATAAACAGGTTTTTTTATGTATTTTGAATCTCCAATTAAATAAGCTTTTTACTTGAAAATTGATTCCTTTAAGACTTTTATATACAGAAAAATCCTATAATAGTCCTATAAAATGATGAGATCTCAAATGCGTTTTTTAAGTAAACTAGTTTAACATCAAAAGCGACACCTTTTTTTTATATAAAATCGTGGTCACGTTTTCTGACGCATTTTCAGATCTCACCGTTGAACAGATCTATGCATTCCGATTACGAAAAGTGCTTAAAGATATGTGTGTAAAACAGCGATAGGAAGATTTTCATATCGCACTTTCCATTGCTGACGATCATTTTGTTCCGGGGAACATTTCGCTATCTCGCATGAACGAGAGAATCGTTCGGCCAGAGAGCACATTTTAGATTCGCGATTTCAACGATATGGGATTTCTCTCAGGCCGCAGAGGAGAAAGGCCAGCGAAATCCAAACTCTTTGAATCGGTGGACGGCTTCGCGGTCGCCATTGTGTGGGTGGCTTACCGTCGTTTCTCCAGGATAAAGCGAGGTATCACCGGATACTGCTCATCCCAAGTCTATCGCTGGAGCCGTCCGACGGCTCTCGAGGATCCCGTTCCGTCTCTTGAATTAGACCGAGGGCGAGGACGATGCCCTGTGACTTTTATAATCGCTTTTAATACCGCTCGTGAAGGGTCGCCTTCAGATGCTGCATAACTATTTTATTAACGCTCGCGAGCGCTTATTGCGAGCGGCAAGAACATCTGACGATCTTATTAGCTCTTGCCGTTGTAGAAGAATCGATGTTAAAAGACGGACTTACAAACTTCGTTTATTTATTTTATTTCTTTTCTATTCTATTGTATATACACGTCAAAAATAATTTAAAGAGCTCTATGATTTATAATCATATATAATTAATCTACATATTAATTCATTCCTATGTATTATTATATTACACATGGACTAATTAACGTTGCCAAGGCGTCCCCAATTAAATGCCAATTTTATAAGGACGGTTACCACGCATTGATAATAATTTGATATAATTTATTATAATTAATTATTGGTGATAATGTGTCCGATTTTTTAATTAACTTGTGGTTAAATTTAACTTTATGTTTCGTTCAATAGGCTTCATAGATAATGCTCATAAATAATTGAATAAAATATTAAATTAAGTCTAACTGAATTAACCATCAAATGAAAAATGTGCTTATGTGTGTCTTGTGTGTGTGTCTTGTCTGTGTATTATACCTATTACATGCTTTGGGAAAGGGTCTTTATTAAATGGCGAACTCTCAGTCGAGTACGGAATTTTTGGAGTAGGAATTAAAACATGGGAAACAAATTGTGTAATAAATATCAATATGGAAAGAACTTTTACTGAGTATCTAAAAATTTAATTATAGAGAATATGAATATAATTTTGTTCGAACCATAAAAATAACTATTATATATTAGACATTCAAATAAATTGTTAGACTTGTAAAACATTTTGCAACATCGTAATCAACACTTAAACATTCTACACAATTATTTTTATATAATTATTTTTATATTCTAATAAAATTATTTTTAAATCTATATTTAGTTAATTTTTTAGATACTTTAGCAAAATCATTCTTTCAGTGAGTATAATTAATTATTGTTATATTTCGATATGATAAACAAATGTTGACTAGACTAATGAATGTACCTGATAAAAGAACTTTATGTCTGCCAGTGTAATATCAAACCGAGACTATGTATTTTTGCACGAAGATGCCCAGCGGCATGATTTAACCTCACGTTAGCGTAAACAGAACGATGTCTAAAACGAGAAGGAAAACGAAGTTGGTTCCGGCGTAGTGCAGCCGTGAACATCGCGGCGATCTTAATTTCCTGGGCGGATGGTGCGTGATAATTCCGATGAAAAATTCCATCCTGCGCACGGTGTAATTAACGAGGAGATGGTAGACCGCGAGCGTATACGTTTGTGTAGTACTCGTCCTGTCCGGTCGCGAAAGGACCTAATTAATTAGATATCCCTACGACAAATTGCTAGAATTACACCTCGCTGATTACAATTAGACCCGGAATGAAATTCCAGCGCAATAAAAGCGCGGCAGGCTATACTTGCGTTATGTCTTTTTGTTCTTCTTTCTTTCGCTTTCTCTCTCTCTCTCTCTCTCTCTCTCTCTCTCTCTCTCTCTCTCACTTACTCACTCACTCACTCTCTTGTGCTCATACGTGCGAACGAACGTTACGCATACGTTTTGCCGCTTATAAGAACTTACTTTTATGAAAAATTAAACGTAAAATTAGAGTCCTTTCATTAGAGAGAAAAGAAGAATAAGAGACTAGAGGAAAATAGAGTAGAAATGCAGTTGCGCTACAAATGCTTTGAACCCTTCAGAAGATCTACTTTCCCTTAATGAAATTTTCCATTATTTCGTATTTTGGAATTAAAATATCTGAATATTATACGTCATACGAAAGAAGACGAGCAATTTAATTAAAACATCACAAAGAAAAGCAAGAAAAGATATCTTGGAACAAAATTGTATAAATAAAAAATGACAGTATAACAATAGTTGTAACTATAACTCATAACTATAAGTATAAATCATTATACGATTGTTTGAATTAAAATATATTTTATCTAACAGTGACTATTATTTCTTCACCAGAGACTATTACTTCTGATAAATCTACAACATTTTCCAGAGGAGTTTTGCAGCTTTTTTTCCAATGAAGCGAAAATTAAATTTAAGTAGTTAATAAAAAGGTCGGCAAGGGTCGAGCGGGAAAGAGAGCGGAACGAAAGCGCAGAGAAATGAGGGAAAAGATTGAAGGGGGGCAAAGTGCGCGAGCACGGCTAGGGTAGATCGGCCAATGCATGGTAATCGTAAAACCACCCCCATGAAAAACCCCGGGGAAGACGGCCGCGCCGGTGTTCGGATTACGACTGCGAGATTCAAGAATTTTTCCATTTATCGCCCTTCTTGCATGAACGCATGCAAGAATTCGATACGAGAATATGGGTGGCTTTCTACTCTTCCAGGCCGACTGAAGGGCGCGGAGGTGAAAGACCGAGAGAGATGTTATACCCATCCTCGACCCCCGTCTTGAATATCTAATCGACAGCATGCTGTTCGCTCATGCATGCACTTCTACGGTGGCGAATCGCGGCTGTGCATTCCGCGAGACACTGCTCGTCGACGATGCCAAGCGCATTCATTCTTTCGTTCCCTTTTTTCGAACATTCGCAGCGCATCGTATTTTTCCAAGCGCGACGCGCGCGACACGATCACATCGTCGTGATATCCGGTGAGATTGGAAAGGGCTGAGCGCGACACATAACGCGTTACAAAAATGCGTTGTTTTGCTTGTCATTTATCGATGATGAAAGATTGAAATTCATAAATTGATGGTAAATTTAATACATTTTTTAATATTCTGCTATTGTCTGTGCATGTGGCATTGTCGTCTAAATATGTTATTATGATACTTGTTCTTCAATTTCTTTTTCTACCAAAAACACGAAAGCTTTTATTGTATTGTCTATAGAAAATAATTTTTATTATATTTATTATGTTCCCCCGATGTGTGTGTTTATCTTCCATTATTAATATATTCGTGCAATCGAGAGAGAGAAAGGGACATAAAGTAATTAATATAAAATAATTGAATGTCACGTTGTATTGTTTCAGGCCAAATCACCCCCGAAGTTTTGCCCGAGTTTTTAGCTCCTTTAGAAAATCACACGGTGATCCAAGGTCGTGACGTCTTCTTCACCTGCGTCGTTAATCATCTGCAGTCTTACAAGGTACGATGTTTTTTTCTAAACAATCCTTCTTCGTGTTTTATCGTAAAAAGCATTAAAAAAAATTGTCACCCGTAGTATGCCACTAAGTATTAGAAAAGAGCGTACAATGAATACATCTATTATAAAACGTACATCGAGATTTATATGTCAAGAAATGTAGCAGCGTCTTTCAAAAATTTCTGTCTCTTTTTAAATTATAATATAATAAACATATAGTATATATGAATGTAATACATTAAATATATGTTTCTGTGAAAGCTCATAATTTTATAGAAAATTAGATCTGTCAATTTAAATTTGCACGTTTTCGTTTTGCTTTTAGTTTTACTTTTAGAACTCGTTTCTTCCGTGAGTCTGACTATATCCGTCTATAACTACTGCAAATGCGAGCGTCTGCTACGTCGTGAACTAATTTTAGACTTTATACATTTAATTTAATAAAATTTTATATTTTTATTTCTTCTCAATCATCCTTTATTGTTCATTTTAATAGACATTTCAAATTTAGCTGCAAAATTAATTTTATACATTTAGTAATAGATTAACTGTATAATGTATCGAATTTTATTATATTTTCTAATTACACACACGCACACATTTTCAAGCTGTTATCTGTATTTTCCGATTAGAAAATACAATTAGAAAGTTAAAATTGTAAAATTTCTGTTCTACCTTTGTTGTACAAAAAATAAAATTTTCTTTCGATGTTTCAGGTAGCCTGGATAAAGTCGGATTCTCGAGCGATTCTGGCGATCCATACGCACATGGTGGCGCACAATAGCCGACTATCCGTCACGCACAACGGGCACAACACGTGGAAACTACACGTGTCGAATGTCCAGAAGAACGACTCTGGTACCTACATGTGTCAAGTCAATACCGACCCTATGCGCAGTCAGGTGAGATAACAATTCTATATATGTATTATACGTTTATATACTCAAATATTGAAAGACACGTAGAACAACGTATTGTGATGTAATTAGAACTCTAATTCTTTATTTCTTTTCTAACAACGCTTTTGCGTATCCCCACGTTTTTGCATACACATCTTTCCATTATTATTTACTATTTTTTTTTTTATGACACGGGTACCCGCATTTTTTGAAATACCACAAATACCGCTTCACACGGTATTAATCCGATGCGTTAAAACACGTTGCGAAGCAGATCCGCAATAACAACGTATCTCTGTTAAATTAATTTCCATTTACCTTCCGCACGACGCTTTATTTTTCGACGGCGTTTCCACGTTGGAATCGCGCGCACGACGGTCGTTACGCACGCGGCTCTATCGATTTCCACCGACAAAGCACCGCGTCGCGTAGCGCGACGTAATTCGATTAAAAAGATCGAGGTTTCGCGCAATTTCGTCGGATCCGTCTGGTGGAATTTTTAAAATTCCATACACAAGCCCGACCATAACTTTTTAACGCGCGCTTTTTCTTCAACCCTCTCTGACCATTATTCGACGATTCAATATCGATTGTAATATCAGCCCATCGTTGCAGCTGCAATTCAGAATCGAGAAGCAGGAGCTTTCACGTTAAAGTAGAAGATCAAGTTGTCAAAATTAGAGTGGAGACTTATCTCCTGATTCTTAAAGACTTCGCTTTATGTTTGAATTCTTATGTGTTCTGGAATTCAACAAATTTTTCTTTCTAACGAAAAATTAGTGATTACAAGTATGTTATTAAATATAAAAATGTTATATGCGAAGCAGTGGAGAAAAAAATTGAGACTAATGTAAACATTTTTATATGTATTATCTTGAAATTTCACTTTGTTAATAGAGGAAAGCCTTCTATTATGAGATAGGCGTCTAATATGAGATAGCGGCGTTTCTGCTAAACTATGTTTCTAATAAACGTTTCTAATAAACGCTACCTATTGATTTCACCATGAATTTATTGCTCTTGAATTGAAAACTATTTAATGAAAAATTTCATTATTAAACCATGTCTGTAAAAAAATATTTTAGAATTTGGATGTCTTCAAGGTTCATTGAGATCAGTCTTTAAACTTTATTATTTAATAAATAAATATTTGACAATAAATTCTTCATGTAGTGATAGAGTGAGATTATACTAAAATACGGGATATGTTGAATTGCTTAATTACAAAAATTAGATTTGATGATCGTAAAACCGTAAAAACAGTGAAAATTGTTGCTAAAATATAAGTGTTATTATACAATAAAAAAAAGACAACCGGAATTGACATCGATGTCTATTTCTGCGATTCTTGGTTCCAACTACCTGAAGACGAGTTCTGGGTACAATGCATCGCATGCTCATTTTGCGTGCACTCTGGCTGTGTTTGTTTGTATTTTAGAAACATTAAATAAAGTTTGTTAATTGCAGTACTTATGTACTTTGTGTGTTATTATCAATTTCTCGGGACTTCTCATATGAGGAGCACAGTTTTTTACTTTCCAATTTACTCACTTTTCACATTTCTTTAAAAAAAAATAGAATTTGAATTAATTTTTATATAATATTATCTTAAAGCTTATTAAATTCTCTTCAAAATGACCTATTATTTTTTTAATTCTGCCTAGACTTCTTATCCAAAATGAACTCGGTATTTCATAATAGGGGCTTTCCTCTACTATTTGTAACTTTATTAATACATAAGAAGAAAAAAGAAAAAGAAAAGGAGAATTCAATAATAAACACATAATGTTCACGTAAAGGGAAAAAGGGTTGTGATGGTCAATGAAATGATAAAAGAATGAAATCCTCACGACGTGATGTCGTGTGATTTTAATTATGTAGATTTTTGGAAAAGCGTAAGCCGCGTATTGAAAAAGGCACATGGAAAATTATTGTCGACGTTAAAAGTGCATCAGATGCGCATATATTGTATATCTTCGGGCGATTATTTTCCCGTCGTTGGTTCTCGGATCGATTGTTCGAAATACCCCATCGTGCCTTAAATCTCGAACCAAGTCGATCGACGGTGAAATTATTTATCGCATTTACATCGCTATCTTATCCACTTGGGACGCGCATTCACGAAACCATTACCAGGCAGTTACTACGTCCTTTCGTAAACCGACGCTCGTAAGTTTGCAAGAAGATGCTCTAAAAAAATCTTTATCGATTGAAACATGAGAATAGAGAAAGTGTCGAAACTGCAATATATAAATATTTTGATTTATAAATAAAGTTTTCAGAAATTTGGAAATATTTGCTAAATCAATTAATTTAGAAAAAAAAAATATTAAATATACAGGATGTCCCGAATTTAAATAGCCAAACTTTAAGAGCGTATAGGAGGTTCGACAAACTAAAAAAAAAAAGTTCCTGTAGACCTGGATTTCATTTTTGCTTTTGTTTGAGCATTTAAATGCGGGACAATCTGTAAAATTAACATAGCTAATGCAAATTATATAAGTATTAAACATATCTTTATATTTGATCTCTGATGATTTTAGAAAGTCGTAATCCCGGATTTTCTTTTATTCATTTTTTATCTTGCTATCCTCTTTTTACACACACACACACACACACACACACACACATATATATATACACATTACATATACTCGTGTTATCTCACTCAAACTTATCATTTGTCTTGCTCACACGACGAGCACTCTGGGCCCTTTATCTTGCCACAGGGCCGTATATTGCATTGGAAGGTTTGCCACTCTACCGGTCGCATTGAATTCCATGGGACATGTGCACCGCACCACGACCAGTAAATTTGACCTACATTCACATTAACCCATAACACACCAGCGACCGCCGGTACGTGTTCAGGGACGTAAAACGATGTCTTTTTTACACAGCCACGAGACACTTTAGTGTAGTTTATGTCGACTGACGTCTCGCACAAGGCGACGACACGATATTTCCGACCTGACGGGGTGATGAAGTTAATGTTTAATGCTGCGCCATACATGTGCGAAAATAATAAATATTATTCGGTTCTGTATTCTCATTAGCTTATTACTATACTAATTGATTCTTATAAATTATATGCGTTTTGTTTGAATTTTGCAAAGTTACAACATTTTGCTTGAAATATTTTGGCTTAAATTGAAGATTTTTCTTGTACTTTTTTAAAATTATTAAATTATTAAATAAATTTGACTGCCTTGGATACGAAGATTTGTCAGAGCATATTATAAATTTTTTAATATATGTATAAACTATTTTTGAATTAATGAAATTTGAAAATATATTTTTATTTTTTAATACTTTTAGTATTATTTTTTAATACTTTCATAATTAAGAAGATCTTTTAATTAGATTTTTTTTTAAGTACTTTTATATAAAAGGATTATTGAAGGATGTAAAGCAACAGAAATTTTATATTGTTGTTTTCACGCTATTATTTTGCCGCTGCAAATATATGATACAACAATAAATTTTTGTTCTCTAATTAAACGCGGCTGGAGCTCAGATTTCGTCAATTATCAGGAAAATTTTATTTTTTATCTATTTACGTGGAATAAAATATATAGAAATTTTACGTTTGCTCGTGTATTTCGGACTATATGATATTATTGTTATAGCAATATTAACTGTGAAATTTTTAAATGATGTTTCACTGCGGTATTAAAATATTATTATGGTAGATGCAGATCTCATCTCGGCAAATTTTGTGTAATAATGAACGAAGCACGTTTACTAAATAAAAAATAAAAAAAAAAACAAATTTGTGTGATAAAAGAAGCAAATTCAAACCGACGTTTATTTTATTTCGCCTAAAACCATAAATTTCGTTGCATGTTTGTTTCATCGAATTGGATAGGCTACGTGTACTATTTCACATCCAGTAAATTCTATACTCTTGCACGTTATACCCGTGCGAGAGTACCCTCATCGTGTACGTGCTTGGGACCGTAAAACAATGTACTTTTTTTCCAGTGAGTAGTTCGAGCCTTGTCTTTGCGCAGACGGCTTTAGTATGACCTCTCACGAGCTGTTTACTCCGCAAAAAGGAATTCTTTCTAACTCTTTGATCTTCACGTTCGTAGTACATCAAAATGCAATTAATCCGTTCTTATCTTTTGCTAGAAACAGTTTTAATAATAAAATGATTCAGATTGCTGTTGCACAAAGAACCCGATAACAGAAACCCTTTTGTAATATTCGACAACCTGTAGACAGAAGAGTAATTTTAAACAATAGTTCAAATAGTTTCGATGTAATATAAATTTAAAAATTAAAGGAACAATGATGTTATTTAATTTTTATTTTACAACACATAATTATAATATATATTCTGTTAGAGACTGATGATATAATTTGGTTCTCGCTAAATATCAATTTATTATAGGGTAACTCCGGTATATACCGCACCTATCAAAAATTTAATTTATTCAGTATTATTTATTATGTTTAAAGTAAATGAACTATATCAGTAAAAACTTCGTATTGTCTATTATTATGAAAAAAATATTGGAAATCAGAAATATTTATATTTTGTATTAAAAAATAAACTTTTTTAAACCCTTGTATTTTTGCCGTTTATTCCATAGGGATGGAATATATGACTACTCATAGAGGGAGAGAGGATATATACGACTCATGAAAAATTTACAAATAATGCATATAAATAAGTAGTAAAATGACACAATAATTTATAAAATGCGTGTATAAAGTTTTATTAAGGAATAAGAAAATGATAAATATGTATATGAAGTAATAAATAATAATTACAATCTTTCCACATGTATTATAAGTGTTATGACATGAGGTACATGTAATGCGTTTATTGCATTTAGTGCACTGAATTCAATCTGCTTATTTTATATACTTTGAGCATAAATCCCATCCGCTAAAGATGTCGTATATTTCAAACAGGTGGGATATACAAGACAACAAAGAATACAAGAGCAAAGTATAGTACTTGTATTTTGTTATACAACATGCTTTACTATTCCTCTACATTCATCTATCACGAAATAACCACAAGTCTTTTGCACGTCCTACAGTAATCATTTTATGTAGATTATAATTTATGATGGCGCTACTCAACACAGTGACAAATCGATTCAACTCACAATAATTTCATTAATATTATCAGTAAAAAACTGAAATCATACAATACTAATATAATAATAACATAAAAGCATGTAACAGAGTAGTTATGGGAAAATTACTCCCACTCTATCTATTATTTTTTCTGACTTTTGCGGTGTAAATTCCAGCGCGGCGTATTTGTCGGAATTATCCTATGGTTTATTACGTGAATTTTATTTTTAAATAAACTATATTGCAACATATATAATATCACAATGTTAAATGCTTAAATCTGAAGTCTAAAGTTTCTCACAATACATACGAATCTTTTCATGTCTCCTTGTTCCAGATGGGATATATGGAAGTAGTGATACCGCCCGACATAATGGATGACGAGTCTGCAGATGGTATGGTCACTCACGAAGGAGGCAATATAAGATTGCGATGCGTCGCCACAGGTTCGCCGAAGCCTATTGTCACTTGGAAACGAGAAGACGGTCGTAACATTATCCTCAGAGAGGATGGGCAGAAACAATGTAAGTGTACTACTGTACTTTCAAGGAACTTCTATAAGTGATTTCTTATCTACAACATCTTAAGGGACGCAATACTGGTTTCGAAAATTGAATTAAACAAATTAAATTTAAACTTTAGTATTGAAAATTTTTTAATATATTAAGAGATATTAAAAATAAATGAAGAATTTAATTTTCACGAAAGAACGAATAACGAAACACGGGTTTTCTAATTAAAAATTTGGGAGAGATGTCTCATCTTTTTTTTTTTATTATATTAATATTTCAACACTAATAATGCGAGATGCGATAAATTAGACCTAAATTTGAAATTCAAGGCCTCCGTCGCTCGATACTGATAATTAACGTTTATCATTATGAGAGGCATTCAATAGACATATATTAGTGGATACGTATATTAGATTCGGGTACGCCGAGCTCAAAATATAACATGCAATATAACTGCTGTGCAGTCCATGCTCTGATGAACTTATATTCACTTACCGTTGATATTTTAGAATAAGCTTTGAATCGCATTACATTCGCAGAACTCAGCATTCTCGTAAAATCGAGTTATCTGAGATTCCTTTGAAACCGCATGTTTCACGAACGCATTTGGCAAGATGACTACACACACACACACGCGCGCGCGCGCGCGCGCATTATATATATATATATATGTGTATATATATCGTTGGAATAATAACAGATTCAACAGAGTCAAACAGTGCAAATTACGACCGTCTGAGATACGTGAAGTGGGCAAAATGTAAACCGGATTTATTTATATTACAGGATATTCCAAAAACAGAGCTTGCACTCTCTTCCTTCTAATCTTGTATAATATATGTAGAATAAAAATTGAAACTTTCCTTAATTAATATTTACAAAAACTTTTGTGAATTTTGCGAGACTTCACGTAATGATACGTCGTATTATATAAAGATGATTGAATTTAATTTGTATTCAAATTTACTTTGCATTGTATTGTTAAATAGAAACGGATTATGTGCATTCTGAGGAATTCCTTGATGCTTATATTTCATCGTAACCCGAATATTGTGTAGCCAATTATGTTTCCTTTTACTCATCATTAATAATTTCATATTCTCGAATTTAATGATACTAATTGGTTTCAGCGGAACAATAATGATAATAATAACGTGCCAACGTTCGCTCGCGTGTGACGTTTCTGAAATGTAAATAAAAACAAAGTATTAAACTCGCGATCGAATTTTCCTTTATAATTAAATTTAATAAAACATTTCATTAGTTACAACCTTAATAATTGTTTAATAATATTATGCCCAATGTAGGAATAAATTTTGATTATGTATTTAACTCTACGCACAAATCAGAGTAGTTTACTATTAAAATGATGATTTAACAAAATTCTTGTTGTTTAAACATTTGATGTGAATCGAGAGCAAAAATGTGTTTCTCTGTTTAATTTAGAGAGATAAAATTATCGAAAAATACTTAAAAAATGCGAAAGTCTAATATGAAATAAGTACTTTTAAATAGATTGTAAAGACAATTAAAAATTTAACAATTCAATTATAATAATCACACATCCAATTATAATGATCCAGTTGTTATAAAATATATAAATATATTCAAAGATATATCTCTTTAGAGTCTCGATAATAATTATGCTTATTTATTATTTTAAAGTAGAATTGGTCAGAGTGGTTGGAGTTATACTTTAAAGTTGAGGGTTTGACATTAGTTTAGGATTCACACGTTCAAAGTTAACGTCTGACTTGGTATAGGATGCATGTTGAACGGCGAATTCTAACTGCGAAGCAGGACATTTGCAGAAACAGGGTCATAGGTAACGACACGCTCGAGCATGCCGACATGGTTTCTCGTTCTCGGTCATCTTAGCCTTATTATCGAATTGCGTCTTTGATTCATTGCCATTGTTGAATGTAGAATAATTTATTGAATACTGCAGATGTAGAAACTGTACAATAGAAAATACATGAATTCCATTATGCGAAACAGCAATTCTCTTTAAAAGAGAATTAAATCAAAATCTTATTTCGGAGAAAATTTTATTGAGAACGATATCACGTCATTTATGTATAATGCTTAAATATTTATTTTAATTATCGTATATATATCAGTATAAAGTGCAAAAGTGACGTTTGATTTTGTCGCCAATATAAATAACGAAGAGATCCTTTGTGTAAGGATAAAAAAATTTTCGGCTACAGGAAGTGATGAAGTGACACAATCGTTTTTTTATGAGTATCATTGATAACATCCATTCTTTTCACGTCGTTAGGCGGGATTAAGTTCAAGGAGAGTCAGCGATACGCATAAAGCTCCTGGGAAAAAAGTGCCACGATTACGTCGATTCTCTAATTAAGACGGTCGTGCCGACGCGGCTGGAAAAGTGTCGGAGCGATAAAATGTCGAGGCGCATCAGCGCGGAATAATCGATCGTCTCTCGCGCTTACTCGAGCCCGTCGGTAATTAATTACAGCGCGAACGGTAATTTACACCCCGCGGCAAATACATAAGCACACTCCCCCACAATGCATACGCGGAGGGAAGAGGGAGGGTAGGTATACGTCTAAAACCATAAATTATTACGACGCGCTGCTTCGAGTTTAATCGTAAAATAAATAAATCGATAAATACATATATTGAATTCTACGACCTCGCGCCTCTCGCATCGTTCCCCTTTTTTCGTTATTGTCGCGATGTGTGTCTCCTCCTCATTTCTGTCAGAAGGAACGCCAAGGGAATCTCACATTGAGATAGCGTATAAAGATCTATTTAGCGCCTTTCGCGGATTAAGAGAAATTGTAGAAGAATCGTTCTAGGTCCCATAAACTTCAAGTGAACTCGTTTTCGCGATTAATCCTACCCGAAGGATTAAAGTTTAACAAGGGTTAACGACCCCCGCGTGACGAGGTCGAGGACGAGGATCCGCTTGTCGTCCTTCGCGAGTTAAAGTGCACTTATTGACCGCTCTTACAAGCAATCCAACCACGTCACCCTAGGTAATCCCCGATCCGCTGTACGGGGTACATTCCGTGTACAAGCTGCGATCCTGCTGGAAGGATCTCCGAATCCCCGACGACCTGTCCTCTTAGCGTCATTCTCGCTGGAGAGATTAGTCGAGTTTTCGTATGAAAAAAAAAATGAGAGCTCAAGAATCTTCGAGGCGGGTAGAAAGAAGGATGAACAGACATAAAAGAAGAAATTCTCCGATCGTAATCGTCACTTCGTGCCGTTTTCGTCTTCCCCGACTGCCATCGTTCTCCTTCAACTATCGTTCTTTCCTTTGCCCACCCGTGTCAACCTGATCTCCGAAGCGTCGTAAAAATAGACACCTGGAGAACATCCGGGGTGACACTCGTTAAACGCGGGAAGGACTTTGGCAGGAGATCGGCGGAGAAGATCCGTCCGAGGAGGAAGAGAAAAATAATGATGCCTCCGTATATCGCGAAAGATGGAAGACGTAAGAGAACGAATCACCCAAGTTGGCAATCGAGATCTCGTCACCTCGCGGATGCGTCGTTCGCGACAACGTGACTTTTTCGCATCTCCGATTAAACGGGATTGCGGGATATAAACCGTAAACTTTTACAACGCATTTCCCGGTAACGACACTCAAAATTTGATCGTTGGAACAATGAACTCCAGTTGACTGTCTCTCGTAGAAATTTAAGTGGCGGTTTCCGAGAAGTCTTTTTATATTGATTTAATAATAGGGTCGAAAAAGTGCTGGGAATGCGCGTAAGTTAAAAATAATGTAATTTCAATTAGAGCACTCGATAAAATATATAATTATTCTTAAGTATTATAAGTGGAAATTAGATCTCGATAAGAATAAAATTTGCATAAAGATAATATTTTCATTTGGTAAATATTTATTAATACAAATAACAGCAAGAATTTTTTATTTTTGCTCGAAGCGGATCTTGATGTTTGATATTTATATGTAAATGTGCAAATACATTTTTCAGTTCTATAAACTGAGCGCTGATTGACTGGGAATGCGTTTTCACGCTTACACACTAAACACCAGTTCATCCTTGTTGTCTATCAAATATCAAATATAAAATACAGATAAATGATGCTGTAAGCGTAAAAATCTTTTTATAAGACATATAATTATTAAAAACTGTCGTTTATAATAATGCTTGAAACTAAATAAATAATTTTATATCGATAACTCGATATTAATTTTTATCTTTTTCTCCACTCTTAACAACATTGGATGATCCAAGTATGCGAGATATGCTATTAATTCTAAACAATACTCTCACGTGAATTCAACTGAAACTTTCATGTCGAAAATATATTTTCATATGAAAATTATGCTAGTGATTTTATGTAGACGACCATACGCATCAAATACACATTCAACGCAAATCTCAGTAAACTTTATCGGAATGTATTCATCGTACCTGAAGTTAATAACATCTACATAAACTGCCATGCAAAATTATTAACGCTGTATTAAAAATACGATATAAAAACATAAATTTTTGCAATTGAAAGAAAAAAGGCTGGAAAAAAATATTATAGATTATTTTGTCTCCCAAAGGATGTTACGTTGCACAGAGAAGATATGTACGATGTGTTAAAAGTTTTAAATATTGATCTTCCCGGTTGCAGCTCTGAAAACCTTCGTCGGTGAGACGCTGGAACTGACGGGAGTGCTTCGGCAAGAGATGGGCACGTATCTCTGCATAGCCAGCAACAATGTGCCACCGACGGTCAGCAAGCGTTACTCCGTCGATGTTCACTGTAGGTATCACGCCGCGATGCGGACGTTAATTAGCCGTTGCCTCGTCGTCGTCGCATTGAATACATTACCAGGGCAGAATGCCCGAACATTATCCCAGTCATGTTCTCACGATTGTCGAGCAACGGATATAGGTACCGTCAATCACGCACATTAATGAAATGTATTATGAAAGCTTCAATTTCTCGAAATAAAAAAATATATTATTTATAGAAGATAAAGCATCATAATTGAATGATAATTAATTACAAAGAAACGCGATTGTTTGAAAAGTTATAGATTTTTACTTTAAAAGTTATTATATTGAAGGATTCTCCTGGATCCTTGTGTGTTATATTGCATAATTACTCGCTGTCTTTCACAAGTTCACGTATGACAAGACGGATCAAGATGAGAGCGTTAATTAATTGTTTAATTAAACTGGGTATATAATGATTATAATGCTGCTAAGACAATATGTGCTTGTCATGCACAATGTTGTATCGAAACATTACACTTCTGTAATGCATCTTCCAAATTTTAACTAATTATGAGATTTTTTTATAATTATACCTATTAATTCAAAATTTATCCACAGATTTTTAAAATTTGTATAATATTCTCAGGTTATATATAGCTATAATTCGATTTTTTTACTGTCAAATTTTATTATTGTAGATAATTTGTATAATTCGTATACTATGATGAAACAATTTTTTTAGTCTTTTTTACATAATTCTTCAGAAATTTTTATATAAATTTTGTAACTCTTTTAGAAAAAAATTTTTTAGATTGTTTTATATGATTTGAAATACTTTTTACAGAAATGCTGAGAAAGTCTATATTTTTTTTAGAATTCTTTATATATGTAGATTCTAAAATATGTTAGAATTTTTGTATTTTATACAAATTTTCTCCCACGAAAATTTATAAAATCTCAAGTAATTTAAGATATTTAGAACACTTTATAAATTTAAAATGTAAAAAATTCTTAAAATATTACGAAAATATTATGAAACCTTTTTTATTGGGATAATCATGAATTTTAAAGGTAGTGCAGTTTTCATTTCAATTATGTCAAGCTCTCTTTTGTAAATGTAAACTTTATTATAATGTACTTTAATTACTAGTGAGAATTATATCGATTATTAATGCTTCTTCAATATCGGTGGTAAAACTATCATCTGGTTTCTGTACGGCGCTGTGGTTAGGAATATACCGATAGAGATTTTCAATAGGAAATGAGGTTGAGTTAAACTTTAAAACATTTTTCGATATCTATATTATCTCAATTTCCCATTCAAAAACTTTTCCCCTAGAACTATCGCACAACTTTATTAATATTAAACAAAACAAAAAAAAATTCAATCATTAGTATAACAAATATTTTTTCAACTTTTTACGATCAACACTGATCGTAATTTAAAATATTTTTATATTTTTATTTCGATGTTACATATTTTTGTGTATTTTTTTAAATGACGCATAACGTAAATAACGTAAAAATTGTTTGTTTTAATGTTAAACAATCCAAAGTTTCATCACTGGAAGACAACGTTGTTGCGAAAAGTATGCCAATAACATTCTTCTGGGAGAAACAATAGAATTACCGGGAATGCGCGCATTGTTCGCAACGTTATACGCCTCGCGTATCGGGAGTCTAAAAAATCACCGTGCAATTTGGTTAACGGCATTCGCAAATGAAAACTTTATCAACCCCCGAAGTTCACCCGCGCAGGGCGTTTTTCTCGCGCGTGAAACTTCCGGCCGCGCGCTACTGCAAAATTAACCGGCGGGCTTGACGATTTATCCACGTCGTCGCGGGTCGTGTAAATATTTGAGCGCAAAGGGTTTCGCATTAATTCGCTGCTTACGAAATGTAATATTAACCCACCGTTGGCTCTCGTGCACAAAGTGCGACAGAACCAGTTAATTCTTGAATGAGAAACACGCGGTCTCCTTTGGGATTCCAAATGTATTTTTCACTCTATTTTTTTATTCCATCTATTTTGATCTTTTGTCTGATCTCATTTTGCCTTTAAATAACGCGTAAAATTTTTTTGCCTTTATAATTCTTTTTTAATTAATCAAGTAATCATTTAAGATAATCTTCGTAATCTTATTAGGACAAGAAATGTTGCATTAAAAATAATATGAAGATTTATACAAAACAAAACTGAAAATGTGCAGAATGAACGACACATACTTACTCATTGTTATTTTAATTTTTATTTCGGATGTAATATTAACATTATGTACATTTTTTGTTAAGCGCAAAATATTTGCTCGAGGAGCAAATAACTAAAAAAAAGACGACGGAATATCGTGCTATTCTCTATTGATGTCAGAGACTACACTATTATCCCTTAATTACGATAATTTAATGATTGGTTGTTTCAGTTTCACCTCTTATTAAAGTGACAAATCAATTAGTGGCCGCGCCGATTAATAGCGACGTCGTGTTGCAATGTTACGTCGAAGCGTCGCCGCATGCTATGAATACTTGGTACAGAGATGCAGGTGAGAGACAAAATATTTCATATGATCTACTTTTCGTACAATCTGCTATTTCCATAAAGCGTGAATTATCTATACAATTTGGGAAGACAAATATTTTCTAATGCGAAATCTGTTTTTGGAAATCTCGAAGTACTTTTTTGGATTCGTAAAAAAATTGCTGAAAAAATAGCTGTCTCGCGAATTAAATTAAGTCCATCCAAGAATTTGTTAAAAATTTGAATAATCAGACACCCCATAATTTGTATTATCTCACATTACACTAACAGATTTGCACTCTTGATTAACCATAGAATGGCTGCAATCAGTTTCTAAAGCGGAAACTCCAACGTACCATAATAATATTGATTGCAAGTCAGAATTGCGTTAGATTGAAAATCTGTGCATCCACGCATACACGCACGTATATATACACACACATACACACATTTCACGCGATTGTATTATAGTTTTGTCGCGTCACGAAGAGACTTTTTGCACTAGACGCGTTAATCAAATATGTAAATTTGTGAATTGCTCGTAAACGCGCTGCCGTTCCGAAAAAAAGCTCCATAAATTTCCCGTCAAAATCAATGCGTTTGAAAATTTTTGATTAACGACGACAGTTTCTCGCGGATGATTTCAAAGCGTTACTTTATGCTGCGCAATAAACGATACACAAATATTGAAAAATACATATGAGAATAATTGATACAGTTGTATAACAAAAATTGAGTCATTTATATCGCTCTGATTGGAAAACCATAAAAGTGTTGTTTATAAGCTACATATTTCTCTTGCAGTTATTGACTCGAGTGTGGGTACGAATATGTTTTTCATCTTGTTTATTTGAGTCTTTATTTTTTTTTTTTGCAAAAATTTTTATTGCTCCCCGGTGTATTAGTAGTAAGAACTTACTTTACCAAACGTTAGCTGTCTTTGATGTTAAAGTAAACATTTTATTTTCGAATATTAAAGCACACTTGGAAACATACTGGAATGTAATTTGAACGTTTAATAAACTAGTCGTGCGCACTGTTTTAAAGTTGAAATTTTAAAGTTAAATAATTGTCTGTTATTCAACGCGTTTTAAATGAGCAGTATTTTACTGGATCGTACCAGCCTATATTGCACGATTGTATTTTTGATCGCTTTTGTGGGGCAGAAATTGAATTCCGCGGCGAACGTTTCTGCTGCACATGAAAGAGCCACGCAATTAAAAACAGCGCAATATTTCCATTCGCTTTCTATTTAGGCGAGAAACTGCTGCCCAGTGACAAATACGTAATGACGGAGCAACCGTTGAACGAGTACTCCTGGCAAATGAATCTCACTGTCAATTCCCTGGAAAAACGGGACTTTGGTGGATACGTGTGCTCGTCCGTCAACGCGCTCGGGAAGTACGACGGCGTAGTTCGGTTACAAGGTACAAAGAATTCTCTGATATTATCTAAAATTGTATTTTGTCTGCTTCTATCTTCTTCTCTAATAGCTCATTCCCGATTATGAAACGAGTAATATATCCTGCGATACGTTTGACAGTATTTAAAAATAATATCGGTCTTTTTATTTGCAATTTTCAATTTTTCATTTGTGATTAGAAGGATTACAAAATTTTCTGTTACTTTTCATTAATAAGCTTTATCAGTAAATTCTAAAAACTCCTTTTTTTTTTACATTACCGTTATTTAATATAATTCTCTCAACGTTATTATCTTGCGGCATATTACGCAGTATACCACAATGTTTTTATCATTTCCTGTTTAGAGCTGCACCTTTCTGCGAAGACGACACCGACGACACTCATGAAGAACACGGATATTAGGCAGCGCAAGAAGCCAGTAGCGAAGGGTAAAAAAAAGAACAACAGCAGTGGCAGGCGAGGACACGCGGGCGGTTTCGAGGAAGGTGATTCCATCAACAGCGATGATGATTTCGGTACCACGCAGATCATGACCGGTAGCACTCAAGAGGGCCAAAGAACGGACAGGCCCGTCGTGCCTTCCTTACCGCCACCGCCTTGGGTCATCGTAAATGCCGCGAATCTCAGGCATCCCTCGGTGTCCGCGATCTTGCTTTTGCTTCTTCTGCCGACCACTTTGTAAGACGATGGCGAAGAGCTTCAGAAATAAATGATTATGAGAGAAACTACGATTATAAAGATCCACGAGTCAGACCGAAGAAGAATAAATTTAGAGAGATCTCGATCCTGCGCGACACAGGTAGAAGAATTAACATTTGATCAATTAACGTTGATTTAAAGTTTCAAGCATTGACTTTTTGAAATTTTTTTTATTTACACACGTGTGGAATTATTATGAATTTTTAAAAGTAATTTTTTTATGCCTTTTTTTATTGTTTACATTATTAAATATACAAGGTGTTCCGGATTCAAGGTTCAGAATTTTTTAATACCATATTTTCTCATGGTGGCAAAAATAAGAAAATGCAATATTAAAAAGTTGATAAAAAATTCTGAAAAAATTCTTAGGGTTCTATGGAAAGAAAATAAATAATTTTTGTCTCTTGCAGTTTTTCTGTGAAGTTGATGGTATTTGAATAAAAAATTATTGAAAACCAATTTTCAATATTTAGTAATTAATATCTCGTTAACCATTACGAAAATTGCAAAATGGTAGAGGACTTTTCGAGTTTTAGTCCGCTCAGTTTAGTCCGCTCTATCTACACAAAACTGATTAACCAAAACTTATCCTGTATATTTAACTGTAAACTTATCTGAAAATTTTAAATACAATTACATAATTTTTTAATTTTATATTAACGTGATCATATTTCTTTTTTTTCTACAATAAAGTCAATCTTAAAATATTCAATGTTACATAACTTGTAGGAAACAATTATCTCCGCTATTAATAATGGTGAAACTTTTCTCTCAAAGCTTGTCAGAATATATTTAAAGAGGGTAATCGTTATAAAGAAATCTCTGAATATTACAGACTTCTGCTTTAATCATTATTTGATGTACTTTACGTTTTTTGCGATGTCAAAATGCTTTCTCGGATTACGTACCTCGCTCTAAGTATTGATCGCGAAATCCAATATCTTTGAAGAGTAGAAAACCAATCTATTTAAGGAGAGAAAAGCCTGATTCCAACGGAATCTGACATCGACTGCCTGGTCATTATCTTCATTACCCTCTATCATTTATTATGTATAATTTCCCCCTGGCAGCTTTTATCTTTTTAATCATAACTTTAAAGTAAACATTAAATTTGTCGTGTGATTGTATTCTAGAAATCTATCTTCGTAAAATTATAATTTATGAGAATTTTAAGAAAGTTTTCAAGACATTGAAAATATATAAAGCATATTTTTACTAAAGAAGGGTAAGTCATTTTCTTCTTCTCAGTTAAGTCATTGCGATATTTAACTCTTATTCATAAGAGAATTAATATTTCACGTATCGTCGGACATCATTTGCATACGAAACTATTATAAATTCTGGATAGAGATTAATGAATGAACTTAGGAAGGCAAGCAAAAGGGTTAGTTAGGGACACCTCGTGGATCTTCATTAGTCGCTTAAAAGTAACGCAAAGGGACGCGCCGTGCGTACACGACAATCCTATCTGGGTAGGTCAGTCCCTCTGGCGATGATTGTAAATATAAATGAAGGTCGAGTAAATTCGGTCAAAATGTACAGAGAAAAAAATAACTCTGCTTCCGAGTTATTTAGACCTTATGACAGTGCTTCTAAAATTTTGCAAATAAAAATCCTTTGAAATACACTAATATTTTTATTGAAAAACTTTATATTGAATAAATGCAGGAAAATACAGTTTTAAAATTTTATGAAACCAAAAAAGAGAAAGACCTCTTATGTTCTATTATATTTCAAATTTTTATTCAATCCGTTATCACAATTTAAACGATTATAAATTGGGGAGTTCGATTTTTCTTTAAAAATATTTCTATAGCACTGTTTGAGGATTTGAGACTTGTGATGGGAATAGAATCGAGAGGATGAAGCGAAGTCATGCTAAAGAAAGAAGAAAAAAAGAAATATAGGTCTTCCCCTTATTCGATATAACAAGGATGTATATCTAGATGCGATCGGATGTAGTCACTGCTGCGACCAAAAAAGACTCCGTCGAAACTTTCGACAGGGTCTCTGTAAATATACGCGACACGATGTCAACACGTGAGTTAGAGAGGTTTTTTCTCTCTCTCTCTCTCTCTCTCTCTCTCTCTCTCTCTCTTTCTCTTTTTCTCTCGTTTAGACGTAACCGGCGATTAATCGGACTGTAGATAAAATACAGGTCAAACAAGTTCGTGCATCGCTCGATCGACACGGCGAACACGGAAAAAGGAGATAACATCGGGGTGCGAATGTGCCGGAACTGCGAGATGAGTTCTCTCTGTGCCGACATCCTGCATGCTGCAGAGTTCGTATAGATCTCGTCGTGGCTATTGAATTTAACTGTTCAACAGACCTTGCAAAAAGCCGAAGCAAGAGGCAAACAAATCTGTAGATCGAAATAGACTGATCGAAGAATAACACGTCTTGTTTTTTTAACGCTATTTATCGGAAAACTGTTTTGCATCAGCTGTTTTATGAGAGACGTTTTTTATCGTGCAGAAGAAACACGAAATTTACGCGATGCACGAACTTTCGATTCGACGTTAAGAGTTCTCGCAAATTAATGTTCGTATTTTTGCCGCTTAGAGTTGAAGTACATGGAATAAATATATATTTCAAAATATAAGTTATTCCTTTTACTTCGTGCGAACGTTATCAATTAACACATTTACATAAAAATTAAAAAGATTTTACATTTTATTTTTAACAAATGTCATATAATCTTTACTTTATATATTACATCCTCTCTTTATATTATATCCATATTAATAGCAAAGAATCTACTTATAGATATATATATATATATAGACAGCAAAAATTCATGAGCTTTTCTATAATTGAGCGGTTCGAAATGCGATAACGTGGACTAATTGATCCTGATGAGCTCTATGGAGCTTCTGTGAATTATTCTGTATATACATAATTTTCTGTTTCTATTATAGCATTCGCTGTTCAAAAATAAATCACTGTGTGCTGTTATTGTTGCTGTTGATAATTGCAAGTGTATCGATATAAAATACAGAGGATCAATAAGATACGAAATTTTGTCAAAGGAAATTAAATTTATTCGAGATTCGCGTGCGCGCTCAGACTCCTGACCCCCGTTTCGCTGGCCGTTTACGGCCCCGTTTCGTCTTCCACAATACTTTTTTATCTTTCCATGAGCATCTGTCGCGACCAGGACACTGGACAGGCTAAATGTGCGCTCGACTATCGCAAATTGGCGTGGCTTAATTCGGTCGGTGCACTTTTACGATTAGATGAGCCGACGTATACTGTAGTCCGAACGCAGAGCGGAGGGCACGACAATAAATACGGTATAGTGAAGTCTCGTCAGATCGGACTTTCATTTAGCTTAAAAGCTCGCTAGAAAATGCCGGCAGTTTAATATTGCTTTCCCGTTATTCTTTCAGGAAATATCCCATTGTGAGATTTATCGCAAGATTCGTCATATTGATTTAATTGCGCTTAAATATGCGGTTGTTACCATCAATTATTCAACTGAAATTCGTAAGCGTTAAAATTAATGTAATGAAAACGCCGACACGTTGTATTATTAGATGTATAAAATATATTTTTTTAATGTTCATTTGCATTAATGCCTTTATTGTAAAATTCAAAGGATCGATACTGTATTGTAAATAATATATTATTGTATTTAAATATATTATACACTTAGTGATAATACACATTGTAATAATGCAAGGCACTTTACAAAAATCCGGCGAGTTTTTAAGCACATCACAGACTTTGCTTGACGCACTTCATATATAATATAAAATATGCAAGGTATATAAAAAATGCATTGGGCACATATATTTCTATAACTACAGCGTACTTGATGAAGTGAAAAATTTGGTTGAATTTGAAATTAATTAAAGAATATGATACTTTACATTATCTATTTTCGTCCTTAAATTTTGCTTTATGAAATTGCTAGAAAAAAATATTAGAGCAAATAATATTTTTTTCATTTATAATAATCATTTATAAGTATAATAAAAAAAACGTGCATTTTTTATATACCCTGTATATGCAATATATATATAATGTACATTTTTCCATATACGTAATATATAAAGTCCCATTAGGCAAAATCCATTGGATATCCTTTTATTATAAGATACGCTGTTACAAGAACGCAGCAAACGTTCATCGGCGTTAAGTATAAAAATAAACAAAAATACATATACACGGCAACGAGACATATGAATCATATAGGACCACGTTTAAAAAATGTATGTACATACTCTCGTATTATACATTGACGAATACATATATGTAAATAACACAGAAGCTGTGTATGGACGTTCGGATTTTCGAGGTAAGCGTTTAGGATTCGTTCGATTCGGTGTATCCTCGAATATATATTATATATAGAAAGCGGGTTCATAAGGCGGGTGTAACATAATGAAAAAAAAATCGTACGCACGATACGTGTATCCACGTACAGTTACTTATACATACTTTAGATGTAAGTAAGTGTGAATCTTGCTCGTTCGTTAGAAGTTCAGACAACGGAAGTCCGAGCGGATGCTTTCAACGAGCTGCTAAATTTTTGGGAAACGTCAATTTCGTAGGGAAGAGATCAACAATCAGAGAGTCCTCATCTCTTGAATATAAAC